TTTTTACTGTTCTTCAATGTTTAATTTATGTTTGAATAAATCCATCAAGTTATGACAGCCACCATTTAAATGTTTATATTTAAAAAAAACGAATTGAAGTAGAAATATTAATATGTAACTTTATTATTGTAAAAACTTAATTAATTTTAACCTTCAATATTATAGTAATGTTGTACCAACTGACTCTCATGTATATTTTACAGCATTAGTTGAGATTTATTTTCCTTGAGAAAATTTGGCATGTACTGTACCTGATATATATCCAAAATAATCTATATTGAATCGAATCGCAAGCTTGTGAATGAGAATCCAATCGTGAAATTTGTGTCAAAACCCAGCCCTAGTGAACATTAATGGTGCAAAAAGCTGCAAAACAGAGCAATGTCTAACTCATACAGATACAGATTTTTATTTATTAAAACGTATTCCATTTTTAGGATTTTTATGACAGAATTCACATGAGAAAAACACGTCAGATTCCTCTCTGTAAGTATGCGAGCCGCAGGCATCGTTCTCCCGCAGACGACCGGTTTCTGACACGCTAATGACTTTCCCCTGGTGCAAATTACAGTGACGGAGCTTCAGAGGGACACACAGCCCCAAAAACATGACGAGACAATCACACAGTGAAGCTCTTTTCACAGCACCGGCGGTGAGGGAAAGACCCAGAGATCCAGGAAAGGTTATCACTATGAAAACACGGAGCGTTACGTGCAGACGCAGAGGGAACGCGGTCCTTTCCGAGTGTTTTGGGTGAACTTTTTGCTGCTGAACACACCCAGGAGCTCTACCGTTACACACGCTCCCAGAGCTCACACGGCCGCCAACTCATTCTGAACATAACTCTTCTCAAAAGCAAAAGCGTGAATAGAAAAACCCCTCCAGAAAAGGGCAGAACCGCAGCTCTCCATTCAACATGGCGTCCTCGAGGGCCAATCAATTAGTCATGTGAGCTCGCTGCAAGCTGACGCTCCTCGCGCTTCGGGCCAAACCAAACTAAACTAGCGAGAGAAGCGCGGCCGCGGGCCGTTTACGAGGTCGGCCAAGTCTGTGGCAACAGAAACATCACAGATCCTATTGTGAAACACATGTAGAAGAAATGAACTCCAACCAAACAGTGAGTGAGAGCCAAGAGTTTCAAACTCCAGTTTATAACACCGCCAGCGAGCTGCCAAAGCCTTTCGGTCAGCTTACACAATAGCAGCGTAAAGGACGAGGAAAGGGAAAGAATGCTCCCCGAACGCTTTCATGGGTCTCAGCAGCCCGGCCGCTTAACATAAACACAAAGACACACGCAGCATCTCTTCACTCACGTTCACTCGACTCCACAGCAAACGTGAAGCTTCGATAAACCAGTTTATTTTACTGTAAGCTCATCTGGAAACGGGCCGTTTAACAGAGCGCTGGTTAAATTGTTACCAGGCAATAACCCACATTTGCACAGAGACGCACAAAGCCAGCATTCATGCGCTCGCCACAAACCGACAGATCGCAAACACACGCTAACCTGCTTAGAAACTCATAACGTTCACAATTTATGTGTACAATGCTGCTTTTAAATGGTTAATTCACCCAAAAATGAGTGTGTGATGCTGGTGTTTCAAACACAAATGGAGAAGTTTAGCAGAAAGTTCACGACGCTCTTTTCCGTGGAATGGGTTGGACGCTCTAAAAATGATTTAAAAAAAAAAAAGCACCATAAAGTATCAAAACATTAGTCCATATGACACATGAAAACCTGCGCCGTTTGGCATCGCTGATATTCAGAAGTCGAAACATGAAAGATGCAATGCAATGAAGGGGATGATTTTTAGTGAGCAACATAACTAAATTTCAGTCTGTTTCTCAGAAAAAGCATCGTGTGAATTCAGAAGACTTGGAATATGGATAACTATTTTTGGGCATTTTTGGGGGTCAGAGCGTCTGTCTTCACCTATTTTCAATGCATGACAAACGGGCGAACAAACCATTTAAAACTGAAACCTTATTTCACAGTTTTACTTGAGCTTTAACACAATCATCAGTACGGACTGTGCTCGTCACGGATTTCTTGGCCAATCTCCGGTGATTCATGATCTCTTACGAAGCACTTCCCTCTCAGAGCCTGATGTCAACATGCTGTAAAAATATGGAACTGCTAATAACTGAAAGTCAGCGAGCTCATAAAAACAATCTTGTGATTCATTATGGGAACTTCCACTGCGGTGCGCACGTTTACGGCCGCTTGTTACGTGACCTCGTTATCAAAACACAACTGCAGCACGACAAAGACACAATCGCAGGAGGCCTGAAGTCCAAAGGCCTTTCAGCTGATCAAACTCAAGACAGCGATCAGCGTCACGTCACTCAGTGCAGATCTATCCGAGACGAACGCACAGATACACAAGCATAAATGAAGGGATTTAAACACAAGTGTCTAAATGTGCACACCTTCGGTTAAGTAAATGTCAAAATCAGCCTCTTTTATGTCAAAGGAACAGTCAAACCTGTTCTGCATTCTCTGTCTGATGTCTAACAATGACAATATGACATCTATCACCCACATACACCCAGCTATTCACTACAAACATTAACCGAAACAATTCCCTTCAGTAGGAAATGAATTAGCCCTGGGAAATGTCGGACTGCTTCTCGAGCACACAAACACGGCTCTGTAAACACAGCCAGTCAACACTTTTCAATAAGCTGAACCTCATCCGGCCGCTCTGGTGAGAACAGAGTCACCGTGAAACACACACTGCAGGCGCTGCACAGTTCAGCGGAAAATGACGGCTGGAGGTGAGAAACAAACACATTCATACCAGCGACTGGAGGAAAAACTGGCTTCCCCAGGAACAGATTGTGTTGCATGTCGCAACACTTCACTGCATCACACGCAGCAGCTCACTGCAAAACAAGCGGCGGCGCATGATTCTTCAGACACCTGGGCAGAGACTGGGTTTCCCATCTGCTGATCAGCGAGAAGTGAAAATCCTTTATTTGCATACGGCCTGATCACAGCTAACGAGCTGGTATTGTGCTGATAACTAGATAAACGCAATCTGCTAGAAACTCTAGAGCTGCTCTTATTCTGATTAGACTCTGCTGCTGCTTTAGTTCACACATCATCACTCGGTACTCAAGTTACCTCTAATAGTACTCAACACAATATACAATACTACAATATTAAAACACACGCAACCCTTCAATTATAGAGAATACTCTAAAATACTGCATATTCTAAAATACTCTGAAAATACTCAATGCTCTTAAAATACTGAATGTTAAAACAGAGTACTCTAAAAATACCAAATACGCTAAAATACTACTTACTCTTAAAAATACTGAATACTCGAAAAACCCCGCATAGTCTTAAAATGCTCTCTAAAATACGGAATAACCAAAAATACAGCATACTCAAATACATTATAAAATATTATTTTACGCAATACTGAAAACGCTAAAATTACTGAATACTCCTGAAATACGGAGCATTGTAAAATACTGAGTGCTATAAAATACTAAATATTCTTAAAATACTGAGTATTCTAAAACACAGCATACTCTTAAAATACACTCTAGAATATTGAATACTCAAAAAATACTGCATAGGCCTAATCTTAAAATACTGAATACTCCTAAAATACTAAGTATTCTAAATGACTGGATATTCTTAAAATACGTCATACTAAAAATACCACATACTCTTAAAATACACCCTAAAATATAGCATACTCCAAATTACTGCATACTGAATATACTACGTACTTTTGAAAGACAGAATACTCCTAAAATACTAAATTACTCTAAAAACACGGAATAACTCATCAGTAAATAGTTTTTCAGCTCGTGTCGGAAGTTTATTGATAGAGTTTTCAGTTCCAGTTGAACAGACTTTCTGCTTTAACTTTGATCGCGTTTTGGAACGTTTACTTTTAACGATCACCGTGCGTTGGCGTTTCTGAGCGACTTTAATTCGGTGTCCATGTGAGCGTTCCTCCGCGCTCCGGGAACAAAAGCTACTAAACTCCGCGAGCGTCGCGGGAAACTCACTCACGCACAGCGACGCACGCGAGCCCGCGTTACCGTGACGAAATATACTGCGGTTTGATCCGTGTTCTCACTGTATACTCACGGGCCAGCGAGCGGCGGGACGGATCGGTAAACACAGCCGTTCAGATCATCTTCATCCCCGCGCGCGTCGGCTGCTCATCTCGCGGTTGCTCCTCCAGCGCGGGCCCGGTCACACACAGCGGCAGCCGCGGGGGGACACGGAACCCACATTCAGCACAAAACACTCACAACACGCACTCTAAACACCTTCAACTGAGCGAAAACAAAATACACACTCATGTAAAACATCAGTTATGAATCCTGACGACGATACAGGCGTTTCTGATGAATATTTCAGTTTGAAATGAAGAGGCGTCACCCCCGCGGCTGAATGGACTCGCCCAACACCGCACACAATATACCGCATCACAACACAAACATACAAACACAGAAAGTTCGGCTCATCTATGATAAACTGCTCAATTAATTCAATTAGTTCACACTAAAACTATAACATCTGTCTAATGAAAGAATGGAAAACGGCATGGTCCTTTAATAAATTGCTAGTAGACACATACAATATACTCTGACTCTTGAAAGATATTGATATATGGATGCATAGTGGGTCTTATAACTGGTAAAACTCAATTTCACTGGTCCTGCAGTGTGATAAATGAATTCTGACACTCATTGGCTTTTATGATAATTATTTATGTCCAGTCCCGATCACAGGTTTATGGACAGAATAATCAGAATCTGGTGTCTAAATAGTCTTCCTTATTGATAAATAATCTCTAATAGCCCAAAGAAAGATCTGAACAGAATAAAACACACAAACATGTTGAATAAAAGGGGAAATGCTGCTCAATATGTAGGTTTCACTGTTGTTTGGAGGGTCTAAGGCTGATAATGAAGCTGGTGGAGTTGAGTTTTTGGAAAGTTCCACACGCTTTAAGGGTATTCTATAGTCTTTGGTGTTACTGGGTTTGGGTTTGTTGTGGAAAAACACATCCCTGAAGGACCGGAAACTGATTTGAGCTGCTGAGATCTGACTCCATCTACAGGAACATCTGGAAACTGCTGCAAGTGAAGATCAGAGCCAACGTACAGAATGAGTACAGAAATATTGGTGAAGAGAAACTAATGCAGCATGACAGACACGTGTTTAAATGTGAAGTGAACTCAAGCATTGTGTGTCTGCAGTAAATCAGCTTTCAGTTACGAGATCTCAGTGAAAAACAGACTGATGGCGGCTCATATACAGCTAGAGTTACAGCACACTGTCAGAGCGGGGCTAGTTGTCACAAGCGTCTCAGTAGGTTTAGATTTTCTCTAGCAGTGGTTTTGTATGTGGGTTTCAAACACCTCAAACTGGTCCTAAAGGCAATTAAACATGATCACATGTGAGGAGATAAAAAAAGAACAGACAGGCATCATAATGTTGATTTATCTGACAGAAACACACGTCAACAGTACAGCTATATTGTCAAAATGAAATGTTTTCGAGTGGAAATACAGTACAATGTATTACAGTACAGGTTTAGACATCACTGAATAATACACCATGTGCATAAGAAGTGCCCTGAAGACTCTTACAGTCCAACATCTAATCCTGAACAGAGGACAGACTCAAACCAGTTCCCAGTCGCACTGCAGTCACTGAATCTAAAGCTGGAGTTGTCCTCATGTGTTTATGTATATCACAGTCTCTGTCAGTGTTGTCGCTGATGTCAGCTCGGTGTGCTCTGCTTGTTTTCGCGCTCCGTCTCGTGACGCTCTTCGTTCTCCATGTAGGCCTGCACGGATCTCCAGAGCGCACGGATGTTCCCCTCGCCGAAGCCTGTGGCGCCTCTGCGCTCGATCAGCTCCAGGAAGAAGGTGTCCTCTCTGAAGATGGGCTTGGTGAACACCTGGAGCAGATACCTGTGAGAGCAGGAGAAACAGGGTGTGTGTCAGGCTCAATGCAGAAAACCATTTTCAAATCCTGTTCCTTCCTCCGCTGCCTCCAGTGAAAAAGTGCATCTCCTGTTGTCTCTCATATGTGTTTAGAGCTGTTTGCTACATTTCTACAAACCTGATGAAGAAACAAACTCATCCTGATCTCGGATGAACTGAGAGTGAGGATATTTTCAGCACATGTTCACTTCTGGCTGAACTACTCCTATTGCATGAACAACTTTAAAGATGATTTTCTCAATATTTAGATTTTTTTGCACCCTCAGATTCCAGATTTTCAAATAGTTGTATCTCGACCAAATATTGTCCTATCCTAACAAACCATACATCAATGGAAAGATTATTTATTCAGCTTTCAGATGATGCATAAATCTCAATTTCGAAAAATTGACCCTTATGACTGGTTTTGTGCTCCAGGGTCACATGTTATAAAGCATGTCTAGTTATGGCTTTAGTGTCTCGGGGAGAGTGCTGTTGTTGAATGTCTAGCGGGTTTTGATGAAAACAAAAACTATTGTGCATTATATACAGGTACCTTTGTATTTGCTGCATATGAATACACAATAATAACATCTATATTATTTAACATAAGTTGATCAGTGACAGTGAGTGTGGTACCGCTGGCTGTCCGTGTCCGTGTGGATGTCCGTGTCCAGCAGAATCCCGTACTGACTCAGAGCGTGAGGGTCGTGACCCGCCGCCACGATCTCGTCCTGCTTTCCCACCTGTGAGCAGAGTACGAACCACAGGACAACACGACTGAGTTCAGACACACACCTGACATACCTAACCTGCTCGCCTGAAGCCACGAGAACAGCATTCATGAAGCACACTGACCTCAGTGTAGTACGCAGGCGGAGGAGAGAAGAACTGCACTCCAGACAGACTCAGAGTCTGAGCCGTTCTCACGATGTCCTCGGTGTAGAGCCCAATGTGCTGGATTCCTGCGCCTCTGTGCTGATCCAGAAACGTGTCCACCTGGTTCCTGCCTGAGATTACACCTCTGTTAGAAACAGACAGCTGTGCTTCTGGACGCTGCTTCACACAACATCACTCGATCTACACCAGCCAAGCTGACCAAATAACACAAAACATGTATGTACACAATAAGTGCATTGTATTAAATGATTCATTTAAATGTTACCCTGCTGTGGAAGAGACTCTGCGATCACAAACTTGCAGTCCGGCTCTTGTTCATCTTTGAACGGCAGTGTGATTCCCGACTCGCTACATTTCCAGTATTCCATAGCGGTCAGTCGCAGCCCGATCCCGTTGTGGTTTAGCACGTATCCCTCATCCACATCCTCATTCCTGCACAGAACGGGTCATGGGTAACAATCCTGACAATATTTCGGTAGTTTGAGGAATTCATCAGCATGAGTGATTTTACTGCATTAATGCATTTGGCAGATGTTTTTATCCAAAGCAACTTGCACTGCATTCAAGCTACACACACTGGAGTAGTTCACGAACACTACCTGCCAAAATCTAGAATAATTAAGATTTTTTAATGTGCACATTTATTTAGGCTGCATTGAAAACAGTCGTCGTGCTGCTTCATATTTTTGTGGAAACTGATACATTTTATTTTTCAGGATTATTTGATGAATCAGTGTTTAAAAAAACAGCATTTATTTGAAATAGAAATCTTCTGAAACATTGCAAATGTCACTTTTGATCAATTAAATGCGTCCTTGATAAATAAAAGTAAAACAAACTGATTGACCCCAAACTTGTGAATAGTAGTGAATCACGGTTTCCACAAAAATATTGTGCAGCACAACTGTTTTCAACATTGATAATAATCAGAAATGTTTCTTGAGCAGCAGATCAGCATATTAGAATGATTTCTGAAGATCATGTGACACTGAAGACTGGAGTAATGATGCTGAAAATACAGCTGCGCATCACAGAAATACATTACAGTTTAACAGATATTCACATAGAACACAGCTGTTTTAAATTATAACGATATTTCACAATTTTACTGTATTTTTGATCAAATAAATGCAGCCTCCGTGAGCAGATGAGACTTATTTCAAAAACATTAGACAAAAATCTGTGCGTTTCCTTCTTGGGAATCGAACCCATGACCTTGGCGTTCAGCTCCAGGAATGCCGATCGTAACAGTTAATGCAGATACGGGTCAGCAGCAGCAGTAGAGAGATGATGACACTGAAACCTGTCAATGAAGAACCTCTGGAAGCCGAAGGTGTCGCGGTACCAGCGGGTGATGTGCGCGGTGCTGCTGCGGGGACAGGCGTAGGTGATGTGGTCGAAGTGCGTGATGGGACACTGCGAGCGGCCCGCGGTCTCGGAGTCCGTCCGGACCTGATGGAAGCCCGGCAGGAAGAGCCCCTGGTACCGAGAGCGGTCTATGAGCGTGTGGCACACGTTACCCACCGGCGAGCGGATGATGGAGAAGGTGACCCGGCCGCTGTCATCGGCGACCTCGGTGGGCGGCTGGAGAAACTCACACAAACCCCGATCCCGCAGCGCAGCGGACGCCCTCTGCACGTCCTCCACCTCGAAACACACGTTACTCACGGTGTCCACCGGATAGTGCGCGTGGGCTCCGTACAGACAGTTCAAATCCTGACGTTCATTCAGCCTCCGCGGCGCCTCGCTCGGCCTCTCATTGACCACGAACACGGCCGACCCTCTGCGGAGCGCGAGCTGCTTCGCTCGGTCTGTCAGTCGGGCCGCGAACACGTTAAACTGGAACCGGGACACCAGCTCGTGAGCAACTTTATCCACGTTTGAGACGTGGAGCGAAATATGGTGCAACCGGCTCAAGTAGGCCGCCATGTTGGGGTGACGTCACAGAGAGGGGCGTGTCACGTGGTCATGATTGCTGTTTATGTATTCATTTGACCGATCGTTATATACATAAATGCAGATATTTCCTCACACAAATTTGCGAGTGGAATTTGTGGTCAATAATTAGTTTTAAAAATGTATTTTAATTAAATAATTAGGTATTTCTTGTCTTCTGAGATTCTGTGTATTTTTTTAATCTTAAAATTATTTGTTGTAATGATTAAATATATTTTATTTATCAGTTTTAAAATAGTTTTAACATTATTTTTAAAACATGCGATAATGACTGTCTCATTCTAGGGTTGGTTTTCACATGGTGTGGAGCCGTCCAATCAGTGGAGCCGTCCAATCAGCGGCGGTGGAGCGATTAGTGGCCCATGGATGGGAGGAAAGTGAATCATCAAAAAGTATTATTTTAGAGTTATATAATAAGGTATGGGAAAAGGGAGAATTACCTAGTTGCTGGAAAGAAGCTGTAGTTCCAATACGTAAAGCTGGGAAGAAGGTAATAGTCCAAGTGATTACAGGCCAATTTCTCTTACTTCGCACTTATGTAAGGTAATGGAAAAAATTATAAATCAGAGACTAACATATTTTATGGAAACTAAAGGGAATATTTGTAATTATCAAAGTGGATTTAGAAAAGGTAGATGTACTATGGACCCTACAGTATGTTTGGAACATGAAATACGAAGAGCTCGGGCTAATAGAGAAAGTGTAGTGGCAGTATTTTTTGACATCGAGAAGCTTGGAAAGTGCAAGAAGCAATCACAGAAGTAGAAAGGTGGTCATATAAATGGGGTTTTAGATTCTCTGTTGAAAAAACTAAAAATGTATTCTTTTCAAAATGTAGGATTAGTAAAGGGGTAAAATTGAAATTATATGGTCAAGATATAGAAAGAGTATCATGTTTTAAATTTTTGGGTATATGGTTTGATGAAAAACTCACGTTTAAAATACACATTAAAAAAATAGTTG